GATGTTCAGGAGACACACTCTTGTTGACATACTGGCGCTTGGGAAGCTCATTGATGCAGTAAGGCTGGATGTTTGTAAAACAACAAACACTGCCACGCCCTCAGTGCAGACGAGAGACATCCTACTCGATGCCAGGTCACCGCGTAAAATCGTATTTCAGCTGGTGCATGTGCTGCGTGTTCAAACGGCATTGATTGAGCGCGTACGAATTTGTCTCTCCTCAAGGGCACTTCCGAGCCGAGCGAACAACGTTAGGCGACAAACTCGAATCTCAGCCAAACTCATACGTTTGACTTCCTGGCCCTCCTTACGAACTGCTAAATTGCGCCAATCAGCTGCGATGCACGTAGCCGCCCACCGGAGAGAGAGAGAGAGAGAGACGTTCGCCAGCAATGGGTTCCCAGCATTGCCAATTTCAGCATCTGACGTTTCGACGATCATCACATCTGTCCCTCGTAGCATCGAAAGACACATGATGCATGAGTGTCGAGTTTGCGCTCAATCCTGCATCAAGTCGAAGCAAATCGTAAGAAGGAAGGGTGCGCATTTGCCGCATACTGTCATTCACCGTAAGGCTCATCACATGGCCTGATATTATAGCATGTTCTCAAACTGTTTATGATGATGAGGAATGATTTCCGTGTCACATCTTGCTGGAAGCATTGCCTTCTCTTTTGCGGTCGCGATAAATGCGCGTTCCCATTGTACTCATACATGTGGCGCAGAAGGTCAGCACACACTGCGGTGGGTGACTCAAAGCGGGTCCGTTCCATGGGGTGCGGCATGTACGGTGCCAGCTTTCTGGAGCTTCCCTCTTTGAGCTACAATGGAGGAGAAAAGGAGGAGGAGGTGGAGGAGAGAAGAACGGGAGCATGATGGAGGAAACTGAAAGGGCGAGTCGTGAGCCAGAAGAGGAAGGCCAACGAGCGGGGAGAAAGGGGAACGCCGACGAGGGCACGTCTTAAGTGCGACTGGGGCCCAGCAGGGTGGCTGGCATCACGCTGTAGATGCATGATGCGGCTTACGGTCACGTCTGCCTCTGTGTGCGGGAAGAAAGCGGGACGAATGGAGAAGAAGGAGGAGGAGGAGGAGGAGGAGGAGGAATGAGACGGGAGAACACGAGGAGGGAGAGGGGGTGGTAGAGGAGGGCGAGAACGAAAAACGAAAGGGGAGGAAGAGGATGAGGGACGGAAGACGAGCAGGAGGAGAACGAATGCGACAACCCTGGCGTGCGCAACGCGAAGGGCCCCCGCAGCGAGGGGGGGCGAGCGGCACGCCCCCCTCCTCCTCCAGCCTCCTCCTCCAGCCTCCTCCTAAATACTCCAACTCCTCCCGCTGCCCTCGCCGCCTCCCTCCCCCCCCCCCCCTCCGCGGCACCCCGCCCCGTCGGGGGCGTAATATGCTGCCCGACAGTGGCATGAGCGAGACGCGAGACCACCAATCGGGCCTGCTGGCCCCCCCCTTTCGGGGAAGGCCGGGCCGTGAGGCTTGCTGCCTGAAGTGGTGCCTTGTGCGCTGTGCTGCCTGCTGTTCTCTCCAGCCCCGTGTCCAGCTTCAGGAGAAGAAGCAAGCTGCACGAGCACAGACTCTCGGAGATCCACACGTGTCTCTCGGATCGGCGTTGAACTCTCCTCCCTGGCGCGCGGGGCGCGCCAGGGGCGGCGCCAGTGGAGCCGCCAGGGGGGCCTGGCGACATCCCAACGTTAATGTGTCTCTGTCGTTTGCCGCATGCCAAACATGAACAACCCACGAGCCAGGAACGTGATATAGAACTGCAAGATGTGACAGCGCTCCGAGACACTTAATTGGGGCGATGGGCAATGGCAATGTTCACATACCGACGGTGATGATACCGTGCCGACGGCGCCGTGCTGAACAGCGCTGCGTCATGCTGTGTGTTGAACTGTACTGCTCTGCTGCGTGTCAGATCGATTCGTCCTTGGCGTCGGAATCCTGATCGAACTGGTCTGGATGTTAAGGGAGCTGCCTGAACACATGGCTTCCAAGAGCTGACCGCTGCGGGAACGTCCGAACCGCACAACTGGCTCGAGCTCGATATCCGAATCAGTTCCGAAATTGGACGATTCGAGAGAGGGCGAATACGAACCGAGGAGGCATGCATCAAAATGGTGGACCGAAAACGCCACCGGCAGCGACGACGACGGACGACGACGAGTGCGAGGGAGGCAGAGGGGCTCGAGGCCAACAGGCCAAAACAACCCCCGAACTTTCTGTCGGGTCTGGGGCTTACCGGCGAAAGGAACCCATGTGTCTTGGAGGCCCCGGGGCTCCTGGGCGAGAGGAGCCTACATGGTTTCAGCTCCCAGGGCGTCGCGGAAATCCAGATGCTCGCAATGCCGCCAGAGCTCCCAACGATGACAGATCTCCCCCCTCCTCCCCCTTCCCCTCCTTTTTGACGTTAGGAAAACAGGAGCGACGAGGCTGTTGCGTTCATGTGAAATGACGTAACTGCAAGGCCCGACTTACGCATTGTGCCTGAATTGAAGCAGACGGACGGTCAGTGCAAAAGAGGTGCAACAAGTGCAGGAACAGTAGTGGAGCCCGTGAGGGCGCAGAGTAACTAAGCCGACTGCCAATAGGAAGGAGGGAGGAACAACCTGCAACAATAACTGCACGTAAACATAACAACGGGAGTCATCCGAACATGAGTGGTCGAAATACGCGTGCAGGCGGGCAACAATGTATAGATGATAGGGGATTGAACTGTCAGCTGGCCTGCACAATCTTGTACATCCTATCCTCAAGACCGCAACCAACCGAAAGGGTAACTAGGCCGCTTAACTGGAGTCGTGTTTCCTCCCCACCCACACCTGCAGCTCAACCTCCGAACCCCCTCAAAACCGTCGTAAGAAGCGTAGTTGAGCAGCGCATGCAATGCTGAATAAGTCGGGCGTTAATGTGCAAAGGGCGGATTGGACGCAAACTTAGCGGTGGGAAGACAGATTGCGCAGCATGTTGGCAAGTGCTGAAAGTCAGAGTGGCAGTGTGATCTGAAAATTTGCACACGAAGGCCAGCTCTGAGTCGTTTTCCCATCCCAACCTGAACCCCCCCCCAGCCCACCCCAGCAACGCACCCCGTCTCCAATCCTCCATCGGAAGACATACGTAGCCAGGCGGTTGCAGCGCAGGTGACCTGCAAAGCTGACGCAGCAATACTGGCTGGCCTGATTCATATCATGATGAGGGCGGTCAGAATACAAAGAAGCTGGGCATCTACATGGGTCGGCTACCGGCCTGCAACAAGAAACTGGATGGGCAATCATATTAGAGTACGGCTGGAATGCATGGCCATTGCAAGCAAGTCTGGTGAAGAAGGGGAAGGATGAGGGGAGGCGGAGTGGAAGTGTGGGTAGGGTAGCTGAGGCTCGGCGGCCCACAGTTGGGTGGATGCCCCTCCGCCGACGGCCACAACGGTCATTGTCGGAGGTTGAGGGGTGAGATCGCAGTGGAACGGAGACCCCCAACCGGGAAATCGTTTCGTTTCGTTCGTGTTGTGCGTGCGGGCGAGGCGAAGCTGCGTGGGCGCGCGAGCGTAATGAACCCGCCGTTGCTAGGGCGAAGTCAAAACAAATGTTTCTCCTCCGTCCGGCGGTATCCCGCGGTGTCCCGCCGTTGCTAGGGCGAAGTCAAGACAAATGTTTCTCCTCCGTCCGGCGGTGGCTCGCGGTGTCCCGCGGTATCCCGTGGTGTCCCGTGGTGTCCGCCGTTGCTAGGGCGAAGTCAAGACAAATGATTCTCTCCCGTCCGGCGGTGGCTCGCGGTGTCCCGCGGTGTCCCGTGGTGTCCCGTGGTGTCAGACGTTGCTAGGGCGAAATCAAGACAAATGATTCTCCCCCGTCCAGCGGTGGCTCGCGGTGTCCCGCGGTGCCCCGTGGTGTCCCGTTGAGTGAGATCGATAATGAGATCAATAGTGAGATTGATAGTGAGATCGATGAGATCGATGGTGAAATCGATAGTGAGATCGATACTGAGATCGACATGGTGCCCCGAGGTGTCCCGTGGTGTCCCAAAAAATGAGATCGATAGTGAGATCAATAATGAGATCGATAGGTGCCCCGTGGTGTCCCGTTGAGTGAGATCGATAGCGGGATCGATAATGAGATCGATACGGAGATCGATGTGGTGCCACGAGGGGTCCCGTGGTGTCCCAAAAAGTGAGATCGATAGTGAGATCGACAGGTGTTCCGTGGTGTCCCGTTGAGTGAGATCGATAGTGGGATCGATACTGAGATCGACACTGAGACCGATATTGAGATCGAGAGGTGTCCCGCGATGTCCCGTGGTGTCCCGTGGTGTCCCATTGAGTGAGATCGATAATGAATTCGATAGTGAGATCGACAAGTGTCCCGTGGTGTCCCGTGGTGTCCCGTTGAGTGAGATCGATTGTGAGATCGATTGAGTCAGATGTTGGTTCCCCCCCTCTCCCCCCCCACACACAACCTCTTTATCACCCGAAGGGTGGTCGTATAGGTGTACAAGTATACCTCCACGCATCCCCCAAGGATGGGCAGTATGCGAATATACATGTATTGGAATGTCAGGTCTGGCGCAGGCGTGTGAAGGACAAGCTATCTACGAAAAAGAGAATACCCTAGGGGCCTGGGGCAGCACGTGTGTTTGCTACAGCTGGTATTCCCTCCTCCTCCTCCCTTGTCCCTCCTCCCTCCGCCCACCTCCATCTTCCTCCCTCCCTCCTCCCTCCCACCCTCCCTCCCACCCTCCCTCCCGCCCTCCCTCCCTCGCTCCCTCTCCCTCCTCCTCTTCCTCATCATCGTCCTCCCGTTCCTCCTCCTGTTCCTCCTCCTCCCCCTCCTCCTACTCCTCCTACTCCTCCGCCTCTCCTCCTTCTCCTCCTTCTTCTCCTCCTCCTCCTCCTCCTCCTCCTCCTCCTCCTCCTCCTCCTCTCCCTCCCTCGTCGCTGCTCTGCCCGCTTCTGCATCGCGCCACCCGCCGCCCCGTCCTCCACCTCGCTGGGGGCCGCCTCGGGGAAGAGCGCCCTCGTCAGCCTCCGCCGGACCCTCGAAAGGTCGACCTGCCCCCAGGAAAATGAGAACGAGGATGGCGAGGAGAAGGCAGGAGAGAGGAGGGAGGGAGGAGGAGGAGGAGGACAACGACGACGATGACGACGACGATGGCGATGATGATGATACTGATGATGATGATGATGCTGATGATGATGATGATGGTGATGATGATGATGATGGTGATGATGGTGATGGTGATTGTGATGGTGATGGTGATTGTGATTGTGATGGTGATGGTGATGGTGATGGTGATGGTGATGGTGATGGTGATGGTGATGGTGATGATGATGATGATGATGATGATGATGATGATGATATGATGATGTTGCTGCTGCTGCTGCTGATGATGATGATGATGATGATGACGATGGCGATGAATATGATAGTGATGATGATCATGATGGTGATGAATGCTGAGACTGTTGATGATGATGCTGATGATGATGAGGATGATGATGCTGATATTGACGATGATGATGATGATGACGATGATGATGCGGATGATGATGATTAGGAGGATGAAGAGGAGGAGGGAGGGGAATGAGGAGGAGGAAGAGGAAGAAGAGGAGCAGGAGCAGGACGAGAAGGAGGAGGAGGAGAAGGAGCACGCACAGGAAAACAAAGCAAGACTCATCAAAAACATTAAAATAAACCATCCCTCCAGGCTTCCACTTCAGATGCCCCTACAAAGATTCACTTCCTCTGAGCGAAAGACCCCGTTGGGAGGCAACCGTTTGGAGATCCTGAAACGTGCCTAAACACCATTCTAGGGACTCCAGCGGCACGAATCAACCTGACTGTTGCGTTTCGACGATCCTGGATCGTGCCAGAACGCTGCCCCTGGGACTTCACCACCGCGAATCAACGTAACTATTGCGCCCTGATTACCCTGAATCCTTCCTGATAGCCATTTCTGGTACGATAATTATGGGAACCCGTGAACATCTTACAACTTGTTTAAACGAATGTGCGCGGCGATAAGGCAAAACCCAGAATTTGAAAAAGAACCGCCCTGAATACGTGAAACTCTTGCGGATGCTTACAACGAATGCGCGCGGCGCTGAGGCGAGAACCACATTTGAACACAACCACCCGCCCTCAACCGGGTAAACTCTTGCAGACTATCAAACGAATGTGCGCGGCGCTAAGGAGAGAGCCACCTGTTGAAAACCACCCGCCCGACATTTGTGAAACTGTTGCCAATGTTGGAGCTTGAAAATCATGACTGGTAAGGAAATCTCAGGCGAAGCGCCCAGCCCGCCCTTCCGACCGACCTCGGGGTGTGAGAGGGATGAGCTATGTATGAGGAGAAGAAATGGAGGGGGGGAGGAGATGGAGGGGGAGGAGGAGAGGGAGGAAGAGGAGGAGGAGGGAGGAAGGGAGAAAAGTGGCATGAAACGAAGAGCGGGCACACTGTCCAAGCCAGCGTGCCCTCAGATAAAAGAAAAAGGATGATGATGATGATGGTGATGATGAGTATGATGGTGGTTATGGCGATGGGGATGATGATGATGCTGATGCTGATGATGGTGGTGATGTTGTTGATGGTGCTGATGATAGTGATGATGGTGATGGTGGTGGTGATGCCAATAATACCTATTATACTGACGATGACGACGATGATGATGATGATGGTAATGACGATGATGATGCTGATGATGATCAAGATGATGATGGTGATGATGATGATGATGATGATGATGGTGATGATGATGATGATGGTAATGATGATGGTGATGATAGTGATGACGACGATGTTGATGATGCTGACGCTGCTGCTGGTAATTATAATGGTGGTGATGATGATGGTGATGATGGTGATGATGGTGATGCTGATGATGAGGGTGATGATGATGATGATGTCGATGCTGATTCTAGTATGATGATGATGGTGCTGGTGATGGTGCTGGTGCTGATGATGATGATGATGATGATGATGATGATGATGATGATGATGATGATGATGATGATGAGCAGTCTTATTGTTATAACTAGTATTCTAATGTTATGAACGGCACTCTTTGGTATTGATAGACTGACTATTAGTATCGCTATTATGTTTATTAATCGTATTGCAACAATGGTTATGATGCCTAGCATGGTTATGAAGACTATGATGATGATGATGCTGTTGATGATGATGCTGATGCTGATGCTGATGCTGATGATGATGATGATGATGATGATGATGATGATGATGATGATGATGATGATGATGATGATGATGATGATGATGATGTGAGGACGGAGGAGGAGGACGAGGAGGACAAGGAGGAGGAGAACAAAGGGGAGGGGGAGGGAGGGAGGAGGAGGCATGAGGAGGGATGAGGAGGGGCGAGGGGGAGGAAGAGGGAGGAGGAGGAGGAGGAGGAGGAGGCATGATGAGGAATGAGGAGGGGCGAGGGGGAGGAAGAGGGAGGAGGAGGAGGAGGAGGAGGAGGAGAAGGAGGAGGGGGAAGAGGAGGGGAGGAGGGCGAGGAGGGCGAGGAGAGACCAGCACGCGTGGCGAGGGAGGTCGGGGCCACCCAACTTTGCGCCTCGCGCACCGCGATGGGCGACGTGCGGTTCAGTTCGCGCCCTCGCGAGGCGACCTTGGCGAAGGGCAGCTGTCTGGCCCACGACGAGACGCGCGAAGCGCGAAGATCTTCCTCGCGCACGCGGGGGGGACGCGTGAGATGCGCAGCCCCAGCAGGAGGGAGGGTGAGGTTTGGCTTGACTCGGGTGCGGATCGCGCCAGAACTTCAATCGACGGGTCAGCCCACACGAAACTGGAGAGAGGAGAGAGCAGAGGTCGAGGCCAACCATGCTGGCTGCTTCCACTGCGACGACGGATGGAGGGAGGGACGAGGAGGGCGAGGAGAAAACGAAGGGCGAGGAGAAGGGATAGGAGGAGGAGGAAGGAGGATGAGGATGAGGACTGAGGGAGGAAGAGGAGATGATGAGAACGGAGGAATGAGAGGGACAAGGGTTTGGGAAAGTTCTGCGGATTCTGGAATGTTACTGAAAGGATCTGGGGGGCTCTCTGGGTCATCCTCCCGTCAAGACCATTCCTCATTTTCCTGCTGCTCCTCCTGCTCCTCCCCCTCCACATCCTCCACCACCTACTTGTCCTCGTTCTCCTCGTCCTCCTCGGCCCATGTTTCTCATCTTCCCACTTGCCCCGTCTATCCCTCCTCCTGCTCTTGACTCACTCGTCTTATTATATCATCCGTCACCTTGCCTCAGGGCACGGAGTGGGCATGTCCTCAGGTCCCTTGCCCATATCCCCTGAACCTCAGTCCTCAATCCTGGATTATTTCGGGGTCCGGAGCCCAAATTACCAAATCTACCGGGGTTTGCCGCATTACGTCGGGGATCCGGCGCATCTCCGGCCCCAACACGAGCCCAGAGGACTACAAAAGGCCCCACAGACGGTCCAAGAGGGCACCGAGTCGCCGAACAATCGCCCCAAACGCCCAAGATGGCCTCAAGACGGCCCCAGAAACCTCCAAGACGCCCAAGAGGCCTTCTAAGAGGGCCTAATAGGCAAACGTCATTGATTTTTGACGGATTCTGGCGTTCTCGCCTTTTCGGCTTCCCAACGCTCCAAGACGGCCCGAGAGGCCCCCAAGAGGGCCCCAAGACGGTACAAGAGGACCCCAAGGTAGATGACCCAAGAGGTGCCCAAGCTGGCTGACCCAAGAGGGCCAAAGAAACGGCTCCGAGAGGGGGCCCAGATGGGGAACCCGAGCGGACATTTCGAGCCCACGGCCCCGAGGGGCCCCCAGAAGCCCCCAGAGGCCCCCAAGAGGCCCCCAAGAGGTCCCCAGAGGCCCCCAAGAGGCCCCCAGAGGCCCCCAAGAGGCCCCCAAGAGGCTCCCAAGAGGCCAAAGCCTCCAAGAGATCCCGAGAGCGCTCCGAAGAGACCCCAAGAAGCATCCCTGAGAACTCTGACCCACAGCACAGGCGCGGTGGCGGGATTGGCCGAACGCCAGTAGATCCGCCGCCCCCTTTTGCTTTAGCAAAGGGGTGCCTGGCGTGCCAGATGATATGGCTTTTGGTTTTTGTTCTTTTTCCAACAGAACTCCCCCTGGGGCTTCGGCCCGTCCCGCCGGCCACCCGGAAACTACACAAGTCAATGCCCGTTCCGCCCCAAGATGGCCCAAGATGGTCCCAAGACGGCCAAGATGGCCCAGGATGGCCTCCAAGACAGCCAAGATGGCCTCCAAGACGGCTAAGATGGCCCCAAGATGCATCCAAGACGGCCCAAGATGGTCCCAAAATGGTCTAAGACGGCCCAAAAGGCCCGTGAGAGGCCTCCAAGACGGCCCCAGAGGCTTCCAAGGGGTCCTCCCGGAAGGCCCTAAGAGGCCAAAATCATTGATTTTCCTTAGATTTTTGAAGGATTTTGGAATTTGCGCCTTTCGGCTTTCCGACGGCCCAAGGCGGCCCAAGAGGCCCCCAAGATCGCCCAAGAGGCCTCCCAAATGGCCCATGACGGCCCAAGAGGCTCCCACGACGGCCCCAAGAGGGCCCGAAGACGGCCCAAGAGGCCTCCAAGACGCCCAAGATGGCCTCCAAGACGCCCAAGGGGCCTCCACCCCAAGTCGGCCCAGAAAGGCCCCCAAGACGGCTCCCGACGGCGTCAGACGTGCCAAGAACCCACCAAGATGGCCGAAGTTGGCTCGAAGCTGGCCCAAGACGGCCCAAGAGGCCTCCAAGAAGGCCTCCAGGAAGGCCAGAAGAGGCCAAAAACATCGGTTGTACCTGAAGTATTTGACGGATTTTGACATTTGCTTCTTCTCGGCCTTCCGACGGCCCGAGACGGCCCCAGAGCCCCCAAAGATCGCCGAAAGATCGCCCAAGAGGCCTCCAAGATGGCCCCAGAACGGCCCAAGAGGGCCCCAAGAGGCCCCCAAGACGGCACAGGAGGCCTTTAAGACGCCCAAGATGGCCTCCAAGACGACCCTGGAGCATTCCAAGAGGGCCCCAAGTCGGCTCATAGAGGCCCTCACGAAGGCCCATAAAGGTCAAACATTGATTTCCCGTGAATGCTTGGAGAATTGTGGCATTTGTTGTTTTCGACCTTCCGACGACCCGAGACGGCCCAAGAGGCCCCAAAGATCGCCCAAGAGGTCTCCGGTCCCAGAACGGCCCAAGAGGCCCCCAAGACGGCCCCCAAGACGGCCCAAGAGGCCCCCAAGACGCTCAAGATGGCCTCCAAGACGGCGCTGGAGCACCCCAAGAAAGCCCCAAGTCGGCCCAATAAGGCCCCCAAGACGGCTTCCGACGGCGTCAGACGGGCCAGGAGCCCACCAAGACAGCCAAAGAGCCCCCGAGAAGCCCCCAAAGGTCCAAGAGGCTCCCAGGAAGCCCCCAGGAGGCCCCAAGAGTGTCCCCAGAGGCTCCCAAGATGCCCCCTCCTCCTCCTCCTCCTCCTCCTCCTCCTCCTCCTCCTCCTCCTCCTCCTCCTCCTCATTCTCCCCCTCCTCCTCCTTCTCCCCCTCCTCCTCCGCCTCCTCTTGATCTTCCCCGCCATCCTCCCCCAAGTGTTCCCCGAAGGGTATCCACAACGGTTGGGGGGAACACATGGCCCGATACCTTGGCAGAGTTTTTGCCACAACGCTCGGCCGCATGGGCGATTCTAGAAGGCGGGGGGCGGCGGTGATTCGCCGTAGGCGTCTTCGACCGCGAGCGTGTCTTATCCGGCGTTTCGACATTGAGCGGAAGGGGAGGGGAGGGGCGGGGGGGCTCTGGACCTCTGCTTGCTGCGGCTGTTTGCAGCAGTGCGTCCAATAAGGGAGGGACTCCACCTGCCCGAGACAGGCGCCAGAAACAGCCAAGATCGACTCCATGCGGGTGGGCAGGGGGGGGTGCGAGGGCCCGCTCCGATCGGCAAACAATGAATAAAACAACGAGCACCTCATCCATGGGGGGTAGGGAGGGGGGGTGCGAGGGCCCGCGCCAATCGGCAAAACAAATGAGTAAAACAACGACCACGTTTTGCACCCTCATCCTCATCCATGGTGGGTGGGGAAAGGGGGGGGGGGGGGGGGCGAGGGCCCGCGCCGATCCGCAAACCAATGAGTAAAACAACGACCACGTTTTGCACCTTCATCCTCATACTCGCCGTCGATGCCTACCTTCTGCTGGGCGCAACGCCCGTCGAGGCACGGCCTCGGGCATCGCTGCGGCAGCGCCAGGGCGACGAGACCCACGCGCAGCCCCCAGGCTGCCTGGGCCCAGCCCCAGGCTGCCTGGGCCCAGCCTCATCCTCATCATCATCCTCTCTCCCTCCTCCCTCCCTCCCTCCCTCCCTCCTCCTCCTGCTCCTCGTCATCCTCATCCTCCTCATCCTACTCATAACTCTTCCTCCTCCTCTTCCTCCTCCGCCACCTCCTCCTCCACGACCTCCTCCTCCTCCTCCGCCACCTCCTCACCGACCTCCTCCTCATCATCCTCCTCACCTCCCTCCTCCTGCTCTTCCTCCTCCTCCTCATCATCATCATCAGCATCAGCAGCAGCATCATCATCATCATCATCATCATCATCATCATCATAATCATCATCATCATCACCATCATCATCACCATCAGCATCAGCACCACCATCAACATCATCAGCAGCAGCACCACCACTACCATCACCATTGCCATCATCATCATCACCACCACCACCACTAGCACCATAATCGCCATCATCACAACAGCCATTATATATACATATGTATAATCAGCAAAATGTTGAACATCATCATCACCATACGCATCGTCATCATCATCAGCAGCATCAGCATCAGCATCAGCATCAGCATCATCATCATCATCATCAGCATCATCATCATCATGATCAGCATCAGGAGCATCAGCATCATCGTCCTCATCCTCATCCTCATCCCCATCGTCCTCCACGTCATCATCATCGTCATCATCATCATGAACATCATCACCATCATCGTCATCACCATCATCATCATCACCACCACCATCATCATTACCATCAGTAGGAACATCGCCATCATCGTCATCACCGTCATTCCACCACCACTATAAGCATTGGCATCATTGTCAGAAACATCAGTGCCATCATTGTCATCATACGCAATATCACCATCGTAATAAGCAGCATCATCATCATCACCAGCATCATCATCAGCGTCATCAGCATGATCATAATCATCAGCATCATCAACATCAGCATCAGCATCATCAGTATCATCAGCATCAGCATCATTCTCATCATCATCAGTATCACCATCAGCATCAGCAGCATCAGCATAACCATCATCAGCATCAGCATCAGCATCAGCACCACCACCACAACAACCACCACCATCATCATCATCAGCAGCAACAGCATCAGCATCATCATCATCAGCATCATCATCACCATCGCCATCATAATCATCATCATCATCACCATCATCATCATTACCATCACATCACCAGTACCATCACCAACATCATCATTATCATAATCACCACCATCATCATCATCAGCATCATCATATTCAGAATCAGCATCATCATCATCATCATCATCATCAGCATCAGCATCATCATCATCATCATCATCATCATCCACAACATAAGAGAGGCCTCAAGACGGGGACAACGACCTGACATTTGGAGCACTCGACCCAGGATGGCTCCCCGGACCGTCTGCAGGCCCACGAGGAAGTTTCCAGGACTCCTCGAGATGCTTCCGAAAGCGCTGAGGGAACCAACAAAAATAAGCCGCCAAGGGTTTTGTCAGAAACCTCGGGTCAAGAACCCGGGCGCAGCGGTTGGCTGAGCCGAATGTCGCCAGATATTAAGCAAGCGTTCGCACAAATACGCGCGCAGCGCAAATACGTCGCTTGCCGAGGCAATTATCACACGTCCAAAGAAATAGCCAGAGGAAAAGACGAGGGAAAGCATGAAGATCGAACGTACGAACCACATTTGCAGATAATTGTCCAGGCCTGTTTAAGCCAGGTGGGGAAAACCATGACCTCCTGGATACAGTACGTATGGAAAACAAGCATACATCGGAATTGCGATGTCTATTTAAGTTTATGGCACAAGAAACGAGGAATAAAAGATCCTGGTTGTGTATGTCGAGGGGGGGCCGTCATGCGGGGTTGATGTACTTACGCTCGAATGTCGACCAAGTGAGGACGTCTTGAGCCGATCGAACCCACAAGGCAAGATCAGTCAGCATCGAATTGGGAAATCGGATCGGATTGAAACGTGCCGTGGGAAGGGGCTGCATCGGACCAAAATCGAAATCTAATCCGATCGTTTGCGCCCGGATGCACAACTACGTTGTGCAAGCATCGGGGCACATCGGACCGCAGGGAAATCGAAGCCAAATCAGATCGAGCATAGGGTGCACTCGACGCCGACTTGGGTCGTTCGAGCCGAATGGGCCCTGGTTGGTTAAACTGCGATTCGGTAAATGCGAGTCCAACTGCCCGCGGATAAAACTGAATAGCACTTGTTTTTCCAAACTTGCAGCTTCGATCTGCATTGAAAAGATTGGCGGGTCGACTGCAAGTAAATAAACGTCTAACCGAAGAGGGAAGGCCAAGGCGAGTGGAGGAAAAAGAATCGAGGCAAAAGATGGTATGGCCCCTGGCGGTGAGGCAGAAGGGGAGGATTAATGAAGGCGCTCCACAATCTCAGCATGTTCTGAAACAGACCGTTTGCCAAACACCCCCTCTCTTCCTGCTCACCTCACCTGAAGTGCCGGCACCCCCGGCAACCAGTGGCACGGCGGTCATCAAGAGCTCTCTCATGCCGTTCCACATCATCACCTCGGCATGGGACGAGAGGGGAGCGGGAGGGGGAGGCTGCAAGGGGTTGAGGTGAAGGGGGTGAGGGGTGGTGGCGTGGGGGGAGGGAGGGCAGTATGTTAATTACCCAGAGACGTGCCCAACCCATACGCAACAAATGGCGATTATCAGCGGGCCCAGTCAAGCCAAACGGACATTGTAAGGGTCGTGCGGTCCTCCATGGAAGCTGCCTGGAAACTCACCCATTGCACGCGATATGGTCGGTTGCATAAGCCCTGAGCCCACAAAAACAATGTCACCTCCTGGGGGTGCATCTGGTACTTCTGCCAATCCTTGGGATCTTCTAGGCATCCTTTGGAATTCCTTCGGAATCCTGAAAATCGGCGGCGCGGCAGCGTTAACGATTGTGCAATGACGACGCGGACGGAAGACCGTTACTTTTCAAATCGAGACTTACTATGGCTCCCCTCCTCCTCCTCCTCCTCCTCCTCCTCCTCCTCCTCCTCCTCCTCCTCCTGCTCCGCCTCCTCCTCCTGTAAAACAAAAGCCCAGGGGCACCCGAGTTGGTTCCCACCTCCGTCACCAAAGGGGACCCTGGGCGTTGGGGTTATGGTCCTAGGCACATAACAACGGAAAGCGCCACCTACCAGGCGCAGCCTCTTGGAGGACGGGCCCCGTGGCACTCCGCCTCTGAGCGTAAGCGATAATTCAAATAGAATTACGCAAGGCAAAAATTCAAGCAGGGGCGGCCTGGCAGGCAGGGGGAAACAGAGGAAGAGGAAGACGGGGCGTCGGGCGGGGGGCGGTCGTAGTGGTCGTCCTGGTGGTCGTGGAAGTCGGTGTGGTGGTGGTAGTCGTAGTAGTCGGAGTGGTGGTGCCTGCCGCCAGAGCTATGGTAATTGTGGCTGTTGTCGTGCTGTCGCCGACCAAATGGTGGTTGTGTGAAGGGCGTGAAGTTGCCGTGGTCGGAGGGGTCGTGCTGAGCGGCGTTGGAATCAGGTACCCGGCACAAGCCCCGGGGTGTGAGGCATGGGACAAGACCCCTGTGTTAGGCGCCTGGGCTGGGCACGGTCACCGCCTCGAGAGGCGCTCAAGAGCGTGCGCGCCACCTCCCCGACCACGCATGTGGAGATGGTCCGGTGCAGGGTGCTCAGAACCTCCTGGCGCCCAGGCCCCTTCGGTGTTTGCTGCGCTAAAGAGTATCCAAGGAGCACAAAAAAAGAAAAGTTCACAATAAACTACTCAAAACGAAAAAAGCGAAAAACAGAAGATGGACAATGGAAAAACCCGGGCCAAAAATAAAAAAAAATAGTACAAAAGATTCATAAAATAAATGAAAATAAAAAAAAAAAACTAAAGAACATAGAAAACTATGAACAAAAAAGAAAATATAAGAAATGACAGCACATAAACAACAATTCAAAATAGTAAACAAAGAAAGGACATCTCACACCCCCCGCGCACCCCTCCGCCCGATCCCTTGTTTGGGCAAGGCACGCCCAAGTCTTCCCCCCACCCCTAACCTCTCATCTACTTTGTCCCCGACGGCCGTCACTCTCATCCCAGTCTCACATCTAATAGTCCCATATACCACTTGCCATCTCCCATATTCCCCCCGATACTCAAGCCCAAGAGCCTAGAGCCTGCGATGCCATCTTCTGCGGCGCTTAGGCTTGTTCAGCAAAGCCTCCTCAAAAGCACGATGTGACCCCTCCTCATCATCCGCCCTTTCCTCCCTCCTCCTCCTCCCCTCACTCTCTCCTCCTCCACCTCTCCTCCTCCTCCTCCACTGTCCCTTCCTCCTCTCCTCCCTCTCCTCCCCTTCTCATCCGCCTCTTCCTCCTCGCATACTTCCACATCCTCTTCCTCCCTACACCCCTCCCTCTCCCTCCTTCCCCTCCTCCCCCTCTTCCCCTCACCCACTCCTCCACCTCTCCCTCCCCATCCCCCTCCCCCTCCACTTCCTCCTCCTCCTCCTCCTCCTTCTCCTCCTCCTCCTTCCGGCTCCGCCTCTCCCGCCTCCTTTCCGTTCCTCCTCCCCTTCCTCCTGGCTCCTCGCTCCCTGGGCTCGCCCGGTTCATCTGCTCGAAGGCGACCTGCCTCCGCGCGGTGGGGTCGATGTGGACCTTCGGCGCGCGGGCCGGGCGGCGGACAGCTCGTCGCCGACGTCGTCGCCGCCACGGCCGTCGTCGCCGCCGCGGCCGTCGTTGTCACCATCAGGGACGTCCAAGATGCGAGGCGCGGGTGTATCCACATCCACCGCCTCGGGAACCGAAGTCATGGGACCCCAGCGGGCAGTGGACACGATACAGCGGAGGCCAGCCCACAAGAAACCTTCCCCAAGAAACCCCTCCCTGGAACCCCAGGAAGTCCATCGATTTTCGGTGTGGGAACTTCACGCTTCCCATCGCAAAACCATCGGAACCCTGGAGGCAAGCAGGGTGTTTCTTGGCATGGGCCCCCACTGTATTGAAGCCCCAAGGGGGCCCGACTACAGCCACATCCACCGCCTGCCGAGGTCCCCGTATATCGATCTGCCGGGCGTTGGCTATGGATGGATCTCCGCCTCGGACCAGGGAGTTTGCAAAAATCATGGCCCGAGGCACGTGTGCGGACGCACTGTAAGAGAAAAGGATGCCAGAAAATCTGGGGAGAATCTTGGCGGCATCCACGAGGGAGGATTGAGCTTCTGCAAAAGCCGCGGGGCTTAGAACGAGGCACATGGGGCTCCTCGGAGGCCCGGCCCAGCCTCTGAGAAGCCTTCTCAGAAGCTGGGCCTGGCCGCCTGGCCTTTTAAGACGCCCCTCCGCCTTATAAGAAGCCCCGCCGCCTTCTTAGAAGCCCACCCCCCTCGCGTGACTCCCTCGTGGGCGCCTCCATTCGTGGTCGTCGTCGCCCCATCGAACGGGCCTCACCGATCACGACGGCGATACTCCAGACGAAGGAGCTCTTCCTGGAGGTTTTCGGACGGGCGCTTCCCAGCATCGGGATGCTCTCTTGCAACTGCGTCTCGTCGAGAGCGCTCCTGGGGTGCCGGAATCGTCAAGACCAGCCCAACGTATGACCCGAAGGCCTGGGAAGCCGCCGAGTCGGAGGAAGGCAAGTGGAGAACAACGGCGACCCCAACAGCGTTCTGCGTCCTTTCCGGGCAGCCTTGATGGAAGTTTCTCGCCGCCACGGCTGGAGTCGCCTCGGAAAACGGGTCAGGACTGACTTGGGCGCGAACTCATGGGGGGCGACAAATGGGGGAGGGAGAAAGGTGCCCTTTCCGGACCCTGGAGGCCCCCCCCTGGGCCCTAAAGGGCTCCTTTGGGGGCCCTGAAGGGCCCCTTCTCTGAAGCCCTCGCTGCCCCCCCCATTGATCGCCCGTCCATGAATTCGCGCCCAGTGGACCCCGGGAGGGAAAGGTCCGCCGACCGATTTCGAGCGGATTCGGGCGGGGCGGGAAAAGCCGCCGAAGGAAGTCTCACCAGGCCCTCCTCCGAGAGGAGAGCATCGAACATCGTCTGCATGCGTGCATCCTTTCTCGCGCCCGCGGCCGTGTCCGGTAGATTCTGACTGGCGTCCCAGTGGCGCGGAAGCTGGACGACCAGGAGGTGGAGTTGATCTGCGGAGAAGTGCGACGCAGATTCGTGTGCTAAGCTCTTTGAGCCCAAAAGGCTAAGGACCTTGCGACTGCAACGTTCAACTGTGCGGTTATTCGTCTGAACGCTACCTTGTTCTACTGGGCGCTCTGTGGCCAAGAAGAAACATAGAGACGCGTGAAACTGACAACAATGGAGGGGGGACGTCTTCAAAATGCGGCTCGCGCCTTAACGCCGGGCGCATTCGAATTAAAAGCTTGTACAACAGCTTCACGGATGGGGGGGCGCTTCCAAGATGTCGCTCTCGGGGTGGTGCCGCGCACATTCGTCTGAAAAGCTTGCATCCGTTTCACAGATGCAGGGGAGGTCGTTTTCAACATCCGCCGTCCCTGTCGGCGTGTGAAAGACGCTATTACTCGACGTCGACGTCGCGGTAGTAACGTAGCAGCAGTAGTAGTAGTAGTCGTAGTAGTAGTAGTAGTAGTAGTAGTAGTAGTAGTAGTCGCAGCAGTAGTAGTAGTAGTAGTAGTAGTAGTAGTAGTAGTAGTAGTCGCAGTAGTAGTAGTACTAGTAGTAGTAGTAGTAGTAGTAGTAGTAGTAGTAGTAATTAGTAGTAGTTAGAAGTAGTTAGCTGTCGGTGTTCGTATAGTCGTAGTCGTAGTCGTAGCGTAAGTCGTAAGTAGTAGTAGTAGTAAGTAGTAGTAAGTAGTAGTATAGTAGTAGTAGTAGTAGTAGTAATAGTAGTTAGTAGTATTGAGTAGTAGTCGTCGGTAGTATTAGTAAGTAGTAGTAGGTATCGCAGAAGAGTGGCGAGCATCGAAGAAGTAGCAGTAGAAGTAGAAATAAAGTAGAAGTAGTAGTAGTATATGAGTTATAGTAGTAGGGTAAAAAAAAAAAGTGATCGTATTAGTAGTAGTCAGTAGTAGTAGTAGTAGTTAGACAAATAGTCCGTAGTAAGAAGTCGTAGTAGCAGTCGTAGTAGTATTAGTAGTAGTAGTAGTAGTACAGCAGTATGTAAGTAGTAGTACGTAGTAAGTATTAAGTAGGTAGTGGTAGTAATAGAAGTAGTAGTAGTATAGTAGTAGTAGTATTAGTAGTAAGTAGTAGTAGTGTAGTGTAGTAGTAGTAAGTAGTAGTAGTTAGTAGTAGTAGTAGTTAGTAGTTAGTAGTTAGTAGTTTAGTAGTTAGTAGTTGTATTAAGTATTTTGAGTTAGTAGGGTAAGTAGTTAGTAGTTATAAGTTAAAGTAGTTAGTAAGTTAGTTAGTTATTTTAGTTTTTATTAGTTAGTTTAGTAGCTAGTTAGTTAGTTAGTTAGTTAGTTAGTTAGTTAGTTAGTTAGTTAGTTAGTTAGTTAGTTAGTTAGTAGTAGTAGTAGTAGTAGTAGTAGTAGTGGTAGTGGTAGTAGTAGTAGTAGTAGTAGTAGTAGTGGTAATAGTAGTTTTAGTAGTCGTCATCGTCGTCGTCGTCGCCGTCGCCGTCGCCGTCGCCGTCGCCGTGACCGTCGCCGTCGTCGTCGCCGTCGCCGTCGTCGTCGCCGTGGTCGTCGTCGTCGTCGTCGTCGTCGTCGTCGTCGTCGTCGTAGTCGTCGTCGTGTTCGTCGTGTTCATCATCGTCGTCGTCGTTGTCGTCGCGTTCGTCGTCGTCGTCGTCGTCGTCGTCGTCGTCGTCGTAGTCGTCGTATTCATCGTGTTCGTCGTCGTGTTCGTCGCGTTCGTCGTGTTCGTCGTCGTCGTCGTCGTCGTCGTCGTCGTCCTTGTCGCCTCCGTCGCGTTTGACCCCCTTTCTCTGGACCCGTCGCCGCTCTCCCCCCTTTCGCAGGGCCCTCCTCCTCAAGCGAGCCAGCCAAATCGAAACCAAAGCGAAATTGAGCAACGTCGTAGTTGAGTCGAAGGAAAGCCCCTTCCCTTTGGTCCCTTTCCCCCGGGGGGGGGGCCTGGAGGGGGGTTCCCGAGGGGGTACTGGGGGGGGGGGGGGTGTGGGGGGGGGGGGGGGGGGGGCGGGGGGGGGGGGGGGGGGGGGGGGGGGGGGGGGGGGGCCTGGAGGGGGGTTCCGACCGAGGGGTAACGTGGGGGTGGGGGGGGGGGGGGGCGGGTTGGGGGGGGGGGGGGGGGGGTGGGGGGGGGGGGGAGGGGGGGGGGGGGTGGGGGAGGGAACTGGGGGGGGGGGGGGGGGGGGGGGGGAGGGGGGGGGGTCTGGGGGGGCGGGTGGGGGGGGGGTCTGGGGGGGGGGGGGGGGGGGGGAGGGGGGGGTCCCGAGGGAAGACCTGGGGGGGGTCCCGGGGGGGTCCCTGGTCGGAGTAGCATCCTCTCCAAGGAGGTCCTGGGGCCCAAACAGGCCCCAAGACAGCCCAAGAGACCCTCAAGAAGGTCCAAGAGGGCGCCGAATCGCTGAACAGTGGGTCCAAGACGCTAAAGATGACCTCCTGACAGCCCAAGCGGCTTCAAAGACGCTCGAAGAGGCCTCCAAGAGCACACCAAGAGGGCCCCAACAGGCAAAATTGGATGATTTTCTTTCGGGTGATTTAAAGATTCTGGCGTTCTCGCCTTTTCTTCTTCCCGACGCCCTAAGACGGCCCAAGTTGCCACCAAGATCGGCACAAGAGGGCCCCCGAAGGTTTCCAAGACGGCTCCAAAACGACCCAAGAGGGCCCCAAGACGGACCTAGAGGCCTCTCAGACGGCCCAGGAGGTCCCCAGAAGGGCGCTAAGAGAGAGCCCACACAGGAGCCCGAACAAACATTTCGAGCCCTCTGCCCCGAGAAGCTCCAAGGAGGCCCCAAGACGCCCACAAGCGACCCCCACGAGGTCCCAAGAGGCCCCCCGGAAACCCGAAGGGACTCCCGAAAGGCTCCCAAGAGGCCCCAAAGATGTTTCCAAGAGGCCACAAAACTGCCCCCCAGAGGCCTACGAACGCGTTCCGAGGAGGCCCCACTAAGCATCACTGAGGACTCTGCCCCACGTCAGCGTCGTCGTCGCCGCCGCCACCGTCGTGGTCGTCGTCCCCCTTCAAGGTCGGCGGCACCGGCCATAAGGCCTTCCCAATTTGGCTCTTGCCTCAGCGCCACGCACATTCATTCTCAAAGTTTGCGCAATTTTACTTTGCAGGGGGGGGTCCTTTTCAAGGTGTCACTCTCGCCTGATCTACGCGCGCATGTATCTCAAAGTTCGCAGCGCACATTCGTCTTAAAGTTTGCAACACCTTCACGGATGGATGGGGCCGTTTGCAAAATGCGGCTCTCGCCTTCGCGCCGCGAGCATTCGTATTTAAATGTTACGACAAGGATGGAAGGGGGTCATTTCCAAGCCGTGGCTCTCGCCATCGCGCCGCGCACATTGGTTCCCAAATTAGCACCAGTTTCAAGCACGGAGGTGGATTCCTTTTCAAACTGTGGCTCTTGCCTCAGCGCCGCGCGCATTCGTATTAAACGCTTGCAGCACTTCACGGATAGGGAGTGTATTTTCAAATGTTTCGCTCGCCTGAGCACGGCAACAAGTTGTCTCCGCGCACATTCGTCTTGAGACCCTCACCAACTTCACGGATGG